AAAAGAAAAATTAAAAAAGAAAGAAAAATAAAGAAAATAAACATGTTCATCCTCACTAGCCATCTAAGAAATTTCGATTAAAACAATTTTTGGGCTTTTTTTGTTTTAAGGGTGACAAAATACTATATGGTATCCTGGTAATAAAGATCTTCCTAAACTTTCCTAATAAAGTTTTAGGAAAAAGGGCAGTTTACATAGTCAAAGAAGTAGAAACTGATCTAACTTTCCTGGATGGAAATCTAGCAATAACTTTCTAAAATGTAAATGTACATACCCTGAGACTTTGCAAGTCCACTTTTACGAATCTATTCTATAAAGAAACCTCACACATAACCAATGGACATCTTTGCATATAATAGTGAAAAATTGGAACCAGCCTAAATTTTTCATCAGTTTCAACAGGAGAATGATACTGTAATACATCTACATTGAAATACCAGTTGCTGTTAGGCAGAATGAAAAAGAATCTCTATGTTTTGTCACAAAAATGTTTCCTGAAAAAAGCCACATGTGAATATGAATGACTCCAGTTTCATTAAAAAAAAAAAAAAAAATTCCCTCATATCCATGTCATTGTCTGTGCAATGAAAGAGCTAAGAGAACATAAATTTCTAAGGAGTAGTACTGGAGAAACGAAAAGGGAGCCAATTTACAGGCTTACTTGGATTTCTCTTTAATAAGTATGCACCACTTCTGTAATTAAAAAAAAAATTTTGTTTCAAATACTCAGCTCTAGTCTTTAATAAACTCCTCAGAATTTGCTCTTCAAACTGAAAGCAAACTGAAAGACCACCAGGATAATTAAGAAGCACTTGAGATAACAGAATCAGTAAAACTAATAACTGCCTCCATCCAGGAAGCCAAAGGAAAAAGGGGCTATTTAATCACAGTGCCAACAAGACTCTCTTAAGACATAGCACTTGGAAATTAAATTTGAAATTTCTCTGAAAATATGATGACTTCACTTTCAGGGTCAGTTTGTATTTATACCCATTCACAGAAAATATTAATATGAACACAGTAAATGGCTAGGAATAACTAACATCCTTACACAGTATAAGCCAATATTCTTTTAATAAGCAAAACCTGGCTGGCAATTTCATAATATGTAAATATTAAATATAAAAGATATTAAGAAATCAGTTTCTAAAGTAGTTTAAGTGGTATAAACACTCCTCCTCCCTGCAAATACTTTCGTTCTATGATCCTAGGTAAATTATATAAATTATCTGATTCTATTTCTCCATTTATAAATTAGGTATGAGAACCCCTTCACCTGATGAGTTAAGATAATAACATGAGGATTTATAAGAACTAAGACAATATATTATTCAAATAGTAGAAAATAATTTTTTATACTATTCTTCTTAAGCTTAAGAGGACTACTTGTCAACAATGAGATTATATGTATTACAAAATTTTCCATTTTAATTATACCTTGGCGACCAAAACATGCTGGTATTGGTTTCTATTTATACTGTTAAAATTTAAAACTCATGCAAATACAAGAAAATGAACAGAATACAATTGTTAAACTGATTACCTTTCCCCCTTTTCAAAAAGTTTCAGCCTATCACTGTTCAATGAAGTAATAATCCTCTCTCTGCACGGTCCCAATGAAGATTTATCAGCCAAATTACATGGATTGAAAGGAGTGCCTTAGCAAACTAGGTATTAAATCAACAATGTGAAAAAAAACCCAATTCTATCATCAAGCTCAGTATTTGTTAAACACCTATAATTACAATACTCATTGACAAAAGTGCAAATATTAACATGGTTAATGGACTGGATTACTTAAAATTATGAAACTCGTCACTACTTCACTCATTTTTATTTTTACTTACTACTTCATTTTTAATTGTCCACAAGTTCTAGTTTTCCGTGTAAAATCTCATGCATTGGTAAAAAGCTTTAACATTTTGTAAACGTTACCTGGGAGAAGAAAGTCGTCTTCTCTCTGGTTCTCTTCGTTTTCTTTCTAAGGATCGGCTCTTGGCTCTTCTACCAGGAGACAGTGTTCGAGAGGGAGATTTGCTCTGCTTCGATCTTCTATCATTTAAAAGTGGAGACCTGCTTCTTCTTGATTTATCACGTGGTTTTGGAGACAAACTTCTTCTTTTAGGACTACGACCAGGTCTTCTACTGGGTGACCTATTTTCCTTCCCAGATGAAGCATCTTTAGAGGGAGATTTAATTGGCTTCTTTTCTTTATCAGTTTCAGACCGTTTTGATTTTCTCTCTTTGGACCGTGACCTTCCATCTTTGGATTTACCTCTTAAATCAATTGGGGATCTGGATTTTTTACATCGATCGCGACTTCTACCTTCATTTACAATTGGGGATTTTTTCCTATCTTTTGATTTACTTTTATCTTCAATTTTAACCTTATCATCAGTAGGAGATCTGGCCTTACCAATTTTCTCTTGAGATCGCCTTCTAAGGATAGGGGATTTTGATTTCCTTGCTTGATCTTGAGACTTACTTCTTTTGGATGGGCTTTTAGATTTTTTTCTCTCCTTTGACTTGCTCCTAGTTGTTTTCTCTTTAACAATTTCAATACCCCCCTTACTTTTCTTTTTATCAGACCTATGTCTAGTCCGTTCTTTGGATCTGCTTTTGCTTCGTTTTTTTGTAGTATTTTTATTGTCCACAAGTTCAAGTTTCCCCTTTGTACTTGAAGATCTAGTACTAGACCTATTTCCATTTCTTGCCTTCTCATGAATCTCCCCCTCTTCTTCAGAGCCAGACTCATAACCTTGCAAAATGAGCCCCATACCAGATTGGACCTTTCCTTCCATTAACTCATTATCAAGTTCGGCCTTAATCAAGGCTCTCTGTTTTTCCAAGTCTTCTAGCAAAGCTAAATCATCAAGTTTAGTTCTTTTTGCTGGAGACATACCCTCTTTATCAGAAGCATCGATAACCTCTTTTCTTTTGTGTTTCTTGTGTTTATGCTTATGTTTATGTTTTTTATCCTTGTCTTCTTCTGAGGAATGTTTATGTTTCTTATGTTTACTTCTGTGTTTATGCTTCTTTTTTTTGTGACGACTGTGCTTATTTTGAGACTGGTCTTCTGATACTTCTCCATTTTCTTCGTTTACACTCTTTTCAGAATTAGCATCTTCCATCCTATAAATATATCAAACACACTTTAAAATCATATCATTTAACAAGTATTCAAAGAGTTATAACAAAATAACAGTAATGAGAAAATACATCTCAATGTAATACATGAAGTCAGTCACTAAAATTTTTTCAGAACAGCTTCACACATTTTATTTCAAAGAAGGTCTATGCAAGAACTGAGTTGGATAGTGACACAACTTTATTGTGTTTCTAATGGTTGAACTCACCAAAAGCATTAGAGGAAATCCCTAATGGAGTGAGCTTAAAAATTACAGGTTAGAGAAAAAGGGAAAAACAAACCAGGTACAGCAAAACCTCATTAACACTGATTTAGTTCAAGGAGCCACTCAGTAACTTAATTTTTAAACCAACATTTCTCACACATGAACAACCAAAGGGCCCATTTTCTTTTTTAGTAAGACTAATAACTATTAACATACACTGGAAGACTAATCTCTTTCTCCACTTGAAATTCATAAAACTTGGTGAGCGGATTTCATCTTATACCTTAAAAACAAAACAAAACTCTAGAGCCAATACTGAGCTATACCCAAAATAAGCACTCAATCAGTGTGCACTGGTAGCTGATACTGATGAAGGTGACAGTATAAACACATCCTCAAAAGTTAAATCTTCAAAGAGAACTAAACCAGAAGTTAGGACTCTAGATTTGTAGTTGCCACTAAGCAATCATATGACATTCGGTTGAACCACATGGAAGGGCCTTTTGTAAGTCAACAAGTCTAATATCAGCAATTTAATATAGTTCAACCCAATATTCATTCAGCAAGTGATTTAATCTCTCTGAATTTCAAATGAGAACTCAGTTTCCCAAAATACATTCACGTTAACAGATGCTTTGGAAATAAATAATAAAGTGGGGGATTCCGTGCTTAAATGTTTGGCTCACGCTGAGTTAAAGAGTTTATGATTCTAAATTATTTTATCAAGTCTTTGGTGTTTAATAACCCCAGGTTAAATACTGGGTCAAAAGCCTAACGTTCTCTTTAAAAGTTACTCCATAATAAACCATCATCCTAGAATATCAGACCAAAAGTGGCCTTAAATTATCTAGATCCAGGCCATCATACTATTTTTGGAGGAAGCTATGGTTTATTTTGTCAGGTCTCATATTATATACTCCTATACTTTTAGTAAGTTTATCCTTTCAACCTAAGAATTCATCAGTCTACTTAGAATCTCTTTAACATTTGAAAAAACCTCACCAACTACAAGTAAGCATTAAGCCAAGTGGCAGGAAAACAGAGGTACAAGCCAGGTGCAGTGGCTCCCGTCTGTAATCCCAGCACTTTGGGAGGCTGAGGTGGGCGGATCACCTGAGGTCAGGAATTCAAGACCAGCCTGACTAACATGGTGAAACCCCGTCTCTACCAAAAATACAAAAATTAGCCAGGCATAGTGGCACGTGCCTGTAATCCCAGCTACTCAGGAGGCTGAGGCAGGAGAATCGTTTGAACCTGGGAGACAGAGGTTGCAGTGAGCCGAGATCGTGCCATTACACTCCAGCCTGGGTGACACAAAACCCAAAACCAGTATTTGCCTCCCTCAAAGAAATTAATATCTGGTGGTACATAACCATCAAATACTGGAGAAGTACAATGATGAAGACATGAATAGGGGCATTATGGGAACCCTGAAGGATCACCTAAACTCATTTTGAGAACAGTCAGGGACAGCGTTTTATAGATCACAGAAAGAAACCAATTTGTTAAGCAGGGACTTTCGGAGGATAGAAGAAATATTTACTGAGAAAGGACAGGGATTAAAAAATAAAGGTTAGCCCAGGTACAATGGCTCAGGTCTGTAATCCCAGCACTATGGAAGGCCAAGGTGGGAGAATCACTTGAACCCAGGAGTTCAAGACAAGCCTGGGCAACATAGTGAGACCTCATCTCTACTAAAAATCAAAACCATGAGCTAGGTGTGGCAGCGCAAACCTGTAGTCCCAGCTACTCAGAGGGCTGAGGTGGGAGGATTACTTGAGCCTGGGAGGTCAAGGCTGCAACGAGCCATGATGGCGCCACTGCACTCCAGCCTGGGCGACAGAGCAAGACCCTGTCTTAAACAACAACAACAACAACAAACAACACGTTGAGTAACACTGCCCTGGAGAATGAGTAAGGAATTAACAAGAAGGGAAAAAGGGGCATTTCAGATAGAGAAAGACGGTGACAAAGGCAGTTATATATAGCAAACTGCAAGTAGATCAGTGTTGTGGAAGGCATTGAGGTTAAGATTCCAAGTGGAGCCAGGCGCGGTGGTGCACAACTGTAGTCCCAGCTACTCAGGAGGCTGAGGTGGAAGACCACTTGAGCCCAGGAGTTTGCAGCTGCAATGACCTATGACTGTACCACTGCACTCCAGCCTGGGCAACAGAGAGAACTCTCCATCTCTTAAAAAAAAAAAAAGATTCCAAGTAGACAAAGTCTAGGAGATGACAAAATAGCATATGATTCTAGGAGTGGGTGGTTGAGAGAGAATTAAAGGTTCACTGGCGTCACAGAGGTCCACGAACTGCAAAAGTAGGTTGTCTAGCCAGGTCTCACAGTCTTGAACAAACTTGCTGGGAGAAGGGGTGGGGGACAGAGAGAATGGTGGTATGATTGAGAAGTTATTAATTAGTTGACAGCAATGAGGGGGAGTGAAAAACACACAGCCACTACAGGGTATCATACTCAAAGAACTTTGATTTTTGGATGTCACATTGCCAACTTCCATTTCTGGCAGGAAAAGGTATTTAAGACATGTGCAGGAGAAGCTACGTTCTCTGGTGAAAGTCAGGTTTTAATTTGGGTTGACTTCTCTCTAATGGAGTATGAGAAGACACAGGACAAATAAAGTAGCGTTCTCTGGATCATTAATTTTTCTCAAAGAATTGGAAGAAGTGCAGTATCTTGGTATTAAAAAAACAACACCAGGCCATGTGCAGTGGTTCACATTTGTAACCCCACACTTTGGGAGGCTAAGGTGGGAGGATTCCTTGAGCCCAGGAAAATTCAAGACCACCTAGGCACCACGGCGAGACTCTATCTCTACCAAAAAATTTAAATTAACTGGGTGTGGTAGCATGTGCTTATAGTCCCAGCTACTCAAAAGGCTGAGGTAGGATCACTTGAACCTAGGAGGGGATCACTTGAGTCCAGGAGTAAAAGGCTGCAGTGAGTCATGACCACGCCACTGCACTCCAGCTTGGGCAACAAAGGAAGACCCCATCTCAAAAACAAAAAAACAAAACACCATCATTGCTTTATTATGAAAGGGAAGGAAGTCACATAGATTTCAGTAAAAAAGATTCCAACGCATTTTAACTTTGTTCTTTATACAGGCTATATTCTCATCCTTTTCCCCCAGAAATCTCCCATCCCATAATCCAGAAGGTCTCTTTTTCCTCAACCTTGACTTACACGGGGAAAAAGTCTGAGAAAAATTTAGGCTAATTCAAGTTATGAAGGTAGGAGAGTCTTTAAAGATTGAGAATTACCTTTAGGCATATAAAATCTAGTGCCCAAAGTACAAAATTCTAGTCACTAAGCTCAAATTCAAAATTACCTAAAGTTTTGAGTTTTAACTCAAGACTGTCCTCAAGACAAAGGATAGTCGAGTGGTTAAGCGTCTCTGGAGCCAGACTGCCTGGGTTCAAACCCCAGTTCCATTACTTACTAGTTGTGCGGTCTTGGCAAGTGATCCTCAGGAATCTCATCTACATGATGGAGAAAATAATAGTACCTACCTGAAAAGGTGTTATGAAGTTTACACAGTGAATAGATGTTAAATGCTTATGACAGTGCCTAGCACAGACCAAGTCCCCTCCACCCCCACTAAGCTACTATTATTGTATAGATGCTAGATAAATATATTTATTTACAAAAATCCTGTGGAGCTGAAAGGGCTGCTAATAAGAATGTTATTTTAAGGAACAGAATCAAAGAGCATAGATTCTGGAGTCAAAGTACCTGGTTTAAATGCTGCCTCCAACATGACAAAGCTATTGTAACCTTAGGCAAGTTGCTCTTCTGTGCCTCAGTTTCCTCAACTGTAAAACATGGGGAAATAGTACTGACAAATCATAGGGCTTACGAAAACTAAAGGAGTTCATAGTATAAAAGGCTGTCACACTAGGTGTTCAAGAAATTTCTCCCCATTTGAGACTTCTGAGGTTCAAGGGACTTGCCTAAGATCACACATACAACAAACCAGTAAGAAGGCCAGTATTCCAAGTCAGTCGAAAGATCTTCCATTTGATTAAGATGCTTTAGAAGTCAGATTATGTCACTATTCTTTGTGAAACTTTATTGCTTTCTACCTTATTCAGAGCAAAAAGTCCTATACTTACAGCCCCAAAATTCCCAACACTCTAAACCTAACACTCTTCTCCCACGGTCACCCTGCTCCAGCCACACCATGCTCCTTCAATAGGCATACTCACATCTCAGGTACGTGGTACCTGTTTCTCCTGCCAGGAACGCTTTCCCCAGATACATGCATTCCTGGCTACCTTTGCCCACCTTAGGTCTTTGCTTAAACGTCACTTTCTCAAACAAGTTTTCCTGATCAATCTATTTTAAATGCAAAACCACCCCACTGCACACATACTTTCCTTCTGTGCTTAACATTTTTCTCCAAAGCAACTGTTACCACTAATATAATTATTGTTTGTCTCTCCCTATCATATTGTAAGCACTCTTGAGCAGAATTTTCATTTTAGTTCACTGTTCTGTGTCTAAGGGCCTAGATTATCTAATCTATAGCAGGTGCTCAGTAAGTATTGTTTGTGTCAATTATATATTTAGAATAACATAAGGTCAGGCACAGTGGCTCACACCTATAAACCCAGAACTTTGGGAGGCTGAAGCAGGCAGATCACTTGAGGTCAGGAGTTCAAGACCAGCCTGGCCAACATGGTGAAACTGTCTCTACAAAAATACAAAAAACTAACCAGGTATAATGGTGGATGCCTGTAATCCCAGCTATTCCAGAGGCTGAGGCAGGAGAAGCGCTTGAACCTGGGAGGCGAAGGCTGCAGTGACTCAAGATTGTGCCACTGCACTCCAGCCTGGGTGGCGAACAAGACTCCATCTCAAAAAACAAACAAACAAACAAACAAAAAAAGCTGGGCACAGTGCCTCACACCTGTAATCCTAGCACTTTGGGAGGCTGAGGTAGGGGGATCATCTGAGGTCCAAAGCTCAAGACCAGCCTGACCAACATGGAGAAACCCCATCTCTACTAAAAATACAAAAAAATTAGCTAGGCATGGTGGCACATGCCTGTAATCCCAGCTACTCGAGAGGCTGAGGCAGGAGAATTGTTTGAACCTGGGAGGCAGAGGTTGTGGTGAGCTGAGATCACGCCATTGCACTGCAGCCTGGGCAACAAGAGCAAAACTCTGTCTCAAAAACAAACAAACAAAAAATATATAGAAGTTGCTTAAAGATGGTTTACATTATCTATTACAGACTTTTAGAACTTGAAAGTTAAGATTTTGCTTTGCTCAGTTTTACCTCCAGTGCCTCACACAGTGCACACACATAGCACACACCTATTTTTGAATGAGTGATATTCAAAATTACTTATATCTCATCAACCCCTCCCAAAGGAAAATCAGTTTTTTGAACCCTTATCTTTTTTAATGCCAACAAGTTACAAAAATCTTAGGAGTTTCACTAAAAATTCTCGAGTTTACCCATAGAGGAATCAACTTCTATCAAAAAAAAAAAAAAAAAAAAAATCTAACTCCTAGAGCTTCTGGGAATCAGACATACATCCTGATGACCAGTATCACTGTAGAAGGGTCATTTCCATGAGTGACTAGTTTCCATTGTAAATTAATGAGTATTATCTCAAGAAATAATGAGTAGGTTCCTGCTAAAAATGTTACCAGCTTGGTACAATTAGGTTAACCTTAATTATAGCGTTTTCTTTACAGGGGCTAGGCATACAATGGATCGTCACCAGTCTCAGCTCATCTCTCAATGCAAATGTCACTAAAAGTAACAACTAAAGTCTGACCAGGTCAATCTGGGAAACTTGAAAGATTGAGTCAAGGGCATAATGTATTACATACAATGGGCTTGTGCTAAAATAGCTAAATTAGGTTTATTATCAATGACTTTCTTATAAAGCTCAAGAAAAAGGTTTCCTGTTAAGATACCTAATGGTCCTCTTGGATAGTTTATACTGACAATAAATATAGGCCATATACATTTCATTTATATAAATTTACGCTTTAACATTACCATTTTACAATTTAACATCCCACATTTAGCCAAGTGGATGTGTATACCAACTTGGTCACAACAGGTTTATCACAAAATAAATATTTATTGAGAACCTATTGAGTGGATAACATTCTTCGGATCACATTATTTGGAAGCAAAGGTGAATGAGAAGTGCACACAACATGGGGGTACTTAACAGTATTTGTATATTTGCTTTATTAAGTTTTACCTTTTAAAAAAGTCAAGTCTTGAGGCATCCAGAACAATGAATGAAAATCATGGAACGCCTTTAAAATAATATAGTCACAGTCAGGTGCAGAGGCTCACACCTGTAATCCCAACACTTTGGGAGGCCGAGACTGACGGATCACCTGAGGTCAGGCGTTCGAGACCAGCCTGGCCAACATGATGAAATCCTGTCTCTACTAAAAATACAAAAATTAGCAGGGCATGGTGGTGCATGCCTGTAATCGCAGCTACTCAGAAGACAGAGACAAGAGAATCACTTGAACCCAGGAGGCAGCAGTTGTAGTGAGCTGAGATCGCGCTACTGCACTCCAGCCTGGGCAACAGAGACTCGGTCTCAAACAAATAAAATAAAATAAAATAAAATAGTCACCAATCACCAACCACCAGTGTTATTTTAACTTCCTCTTTCACATTTTTTTCCAAAGAATAATAGTCTTAGTGAATTTATTTGGTAGGCATTCAAAATATACAGAGACACAGAGAACTGATTGATTTAAATTTGTGTACGAATAAAGCCGTTTTTAAGCTAGACAGTTCTTTACAAATTTTTTTTAGTGATGAGCAAAGTGAACGCCACTGCTACTTTACCAGGAAAGTAATTAAGCCTATTTCTCTGACAAGTTAAAATGTATACATCTTTTAAGAAACTGGGTCTGGCTATGTTGCCTGGGCTGGATTCAAACTCCTAGGCTCAAATGATCCTCCTGCCTCAGACTCCCTAGTACCTGCAGCACTTGAGCCCAGTAGTTCAAGAACAGCCTGGGCAACATGGGAAGACTCTGCCTCTACAAAAATATTTAAAAATTAGCTAGGCATGGCCAGGCATGGTAGCTCACGCCTGTAATCCCAGAACTTTGGGAGGCTGAGGCGGGTGGACCACGCAGTCAGGAGATTGAGACCATCCTGGCCAACAAGGTGAAACCCTGTCTCTACTAAAAATACAAAAATTAGCAGGGCATGGTGGTACATGCCTGTAATCCCAGCTACTCGGGAGGCTGCGGCAGGAGAATTGCTTGAACCAGAGAGTCCAAGGTTCCAGTGAGCCAATATCGTACCATTGCAATCTAGCCTGGAGACAAAGTGAGACTCCGTCTCAAAAAAAAAAAAAAAAAAAAAAAATTAGTTGGGTGTGGTGTTGCATACCTGTGGTCCCAGCTACTCCGGAGGCTGGGGTAGGAGGATCACTTGAGGTTGAGGCTACAGTGAGCCATGATAGTGTCACTGTACTCCAGCCTGGGTGACAAGGGCTCATGTTTCAAAAATAAATAAAATGAATAAAAAGAATTAATGTAGATATAAAAATCAGAATGGGTCCAAAAGACTAACTAGTCTTAAAACCTTCCCTCTGGTCCCTGCTTTGCCAAATCAGGTTTGAGAAATTAGGTCTCAATAAATTAGACACATCACATCAAAAAATGGATCTTTCTGGGACAGTGGAAAAAATAAAAATAATTTCATACTTGAAAAGCAATTTAAAAAGAAGCCACATTGTACAGTGGGCGGCCAGACAGTTCAATAGTTAGCAGCAGGGCTTTAGAATCAGACTGCCTGAGTTTAAATGGGTGTGCCACTTAGGGTGACCTTGAGCAAGTTACTCAATTTCTCTGTGTTTCAGTTTCATCATCTTTAAAACAGGAAAATAAAAGCATCTACCCCTATAGGGTTGTTAAAAGAATTAAAGCCTTCAGGAAGCTTAAAAGCTACTTTTTATATTTATTCTTTCTAAATTTTCTATTTTGAATAGATTCCATATAACTGTAAACTACTCAGTGTTCTCTAAAGAACTGTTGTAGACACTATACTCAAGGACTCACTGTGAGCACCAGGCACAGTGTTTGCTTTCATACCAAATGGTTATCGTCTTTGTTAAATACTTTCAAACTACTGAAAGTGAGACATATACAGACCAAATATTCCATTTACACCAAGTGTTCTGTGGGGAAGGGAAGGGAAATTAAAGACTATCTCTGTTATTCAAACAGTAGAGGCCTGAAAATGTATTTTTTAAATTATTAAGTCTAATATTTGAAAACAGTATGCGAATAAAATACGACTAACCCACTCCTCGAAATGAATCTCAAACATCCCTAAAATCAAATAAATGGACATAATACTACAGAAATTTTCAGATTAGTAGAAAATGTAACCACATAGCATGAGATCTGCACTGTATTGGCATAAACACTGTAACTGTGCCACACAATGAACTCGGTGAGAAACAATAAGAGGTTAAAGCTAGTTTAAAACTTCAGAATCCATTTGTTCTCTGCTAAGTCAAATTATAAAAATAATACAGCAGTTTTGAAAAGCCCTCAGTTAAAAATTCCGTTTTTCCTCCTAGCTGAGTAATGCAGATGATTGAGGAGCCCAAAACTGGACGCACAGCAATTAAGTGTCAGGTTGTCTGGTGGCAAAGATTTCTCCTATCGCTCAGTCACAACTTGCTGGGAGACTATACCTCTTTCTAAGATGGCTGGAAACAGATGAGACAGTGCAGATGCAAAAAAAACGGTCGCTATAGGAACATTGCCGTAAAATCCATTCTCTCTATTATGGTTCTTGTTTGAGTTTTCCTAACATAGACATGAAGAGCAAAATACTGCTTTTAGTTAACCAATGGCTAACCTTGCAGCATACACACGTATTTTTTTTTTTTCATTTTTCATTTGGCCGCATGGATTCTTATATTAGCTTAATTATAGATATAAAGTGGTTTGGCAGTAGCTAGCAATTCCCACTACTCCTTCCACTCGTCCTCGTCCTCCTAAAGGGTTATAAACTCAAGCAAAAAAGACAAAAAAAAAAAATGCCAGGCCTCAAAACCAAAGACTCTATCTCACTTTGCCTCAAGTTTGCAAGTTGGTAAAAAAAAAGCTGCCGGCAGGCACTCAAAAAAACAAAACAAAACAAAACAAAACTGGGTGACTGCTGGACTAAAGAATACAAGGTGACGAGATCAAGTATCCTGGTAGCCACAGACTAGCTCTGGGATGGCCAGAGAGTGTGACCCCACCACCTCCGCTCTCTGCTTTCAGGTCCTAAACTGACACCAGTAAAAGGACGACTGGGGGTACCGCAAGAGGAAGAAAAGACTTCGGGCTTGCCCCGCCTGCTGCCACTGACCCTCGTGTCCCCAACACCGATGCCGCTAAGAGCCGCGGCCAGGGAGCTTAGATGGGTCCCCAAGGGAGGAATGGGAAAGCGCGACCTCACTGCCGCCACGCGCACCGGACCTGTAGAGGCCGCTCGCGCCTACGCCTCCCGGGGCAACGACGCGCTGCAGGCCGCGGCCGCCTTCACCCCAGCAGCCGCGGCCTCTGGGAGAAGGAAGCTCGAAGGCCGCCTGCTCCCCATGCCTCCCACCCCACAACGAATCGCGCCGGAAAAGGCAAAGTTTGACTCTCGCCGTTAGGCCCGAACTTTCCCGCCCGCCCGTGCAGCTCCCACTCGGCCGTCCCCGGGCTCCAGCCTCTGGCCCACTCACAGAGACTACTTACTCTGTCTGCTCCCGCAGCGACTGGGTCTCCGCGGCGGCCATCTTGAACTTCCTGACTCCTCGGCGGCGGTGGCGGCGGCTCCCGGACGGTGGAAGGTAGTGGAAGTGGAAGAAGAAGGAAAAGAGCTGCCGCGCATGTGCTGACCGCGTAGGGAAGAGCGGGGTTCTGAGTCCGCGCTAAGAATCCGGATATGAAACCTCGCGTCCCGGGACTGGCGCAGGGCGTAGTGTCGCAACTTCCGGGAGCATGGTGGGCGGGGCTGCTGAGGATTGAGGGCCGTGTCAAGCTTGAGCTCTTTCGTCAGTGCTAGAAATGGACGTTTAGTTATCGAAGCCTGCTGACGAGGGAAGCCAACAAGAGAGGGATGTCGGCATCGGGTATGCGGTTCCAAGAACTGATTGGCTATGGAGACTGGAAGTTGGGTGAAAATTCTTATAAACTCGGGCAAACGAATTGATGATTTTTCCCTGGTCGGTGTTAAGAGACACAGTAAATGCTTAACCATCTCGCTAGATAGCCCAGCTGAAGTGGCATTAGCTTCCCCGGGAAGTGTGTAGAAAGGCGTTTTTAAATACTGTAAATTAGGGTTGTACCTCGAACGTAAATATCTTTTAATGTGGAACTGTTACTGTATTTGACACATCTTTTCAACTTTTACATAGTTCAAGGGTGACATGATTCAGGAGTCGTTCAGTTCGTTGTTTCCGTAATTGGAACGTGTAATGTTTTTTGGCCCAAGTTGCTTTATGTGATTTTGTTTTTTTCTATAACGACGCTGCAGTAATGGAGTAGAATGGAATATTGTAGGGAAAACATTTACTGGCTCTTGGAGAGCTCTCAATACCAATTAGGTTCTTTAATTGCTCTTTAAAAAAAATTTCTCGGCCTGGCGCTGTGGCTCACGCCTGTAATCCCAGCACCTTCGGAGGCCGAGGTGGGCGGATCACCTGAGGCCAGGAGTTCGAGACTAGCCTGGCCAACATGGTGAAACCCCGTCTCTGTTAAAAATACAAACAATTTAGCCGGGCGTGGTGGCGCGCGCCTATAATCAATTCCAGCTACTCGGGAGGCTGAGGCAGTTGAGAATCGCTTGAACCCGAGAGGCGGAGGTTGCACTGAGATCACGCCACTGCGCTCCAGCCTGGGCAACAGGGCAAGATTCCATTAAAAAAAAAAAAAAAAAATTATCCATACTTTGGAACCTAGAAGCAGCGTGACGATCACTTTCATTCTTGTAATCATCTTAGTTTGCCTTTGTCCTAGAAAATTGAGTTCGGAATCTCCAGGCTCCATACATATCTCTTGATTTCCAGGGGAGAAGGGTTTCAAATGTTCTTACAAAATGTCTCTTGCTGCCTGAATTCCCAACGTTTTGAAATGTTAGGGCCAGGCGCGGTGGCTCAGGCCTGCAATCCTCTAGCACTTTGGGAGGCCAAGGCGGGCAGATTGCCTGAGCTCAAGAGTTCGAGTTCAGCCTGGACAACATCGCGAAACCCTGTCTCTACTAAAAATACAAAAAATCAGCCGGCGTGGTGGCGCCTATAGTCCCAGCTACTCGGGAGGCTGAGGCAGAATCGCTTGAACCCGGGAGGCGGAAGTTTCAGTGAGCCGAGATCGCGCCATTGCACTCCAGCCTGGGCAACAAAAGCAAAAACTCTGTCTCAAATAAAATAAGTAAATAAATGAAATAAACTTAGTAAACTATTTTAAAATAAATAATGTGAAAATTAACAGTGTATGTAGTAGAACTGTGAGAGATCTCATGTTGGAAACAGTGATATACTTGAAGGCAAAAGATTGGATTAGGTACTATTAACACGTTTTACACATGAACAAACTGACGCCAAGAGGTAAAGTAATTTGCTTATGATGATTGAGTTCCCAAGTACCAAGCTGATTTTTGAACTAAAATCTGACTCGAAAATCTGCTATTTTCTTACCAGGCTGCTTCCTACAAGAATATAACCTCGCTTAGTATCTACTTATAGAGCATCCACCCTCACAACTCTTTGGCATTCAAATGTTTGTTGAGTAGCGGTAGTAGAGCACTACGTTCCAATCGGAAAATGCCTTATTTTTCCTTGTTTGCAGGAGCCTATTATAAATAAATGCCTTGTTTTCGCTGTGTCTCTTGTTGTCGAGAGCTCAAGCTGGTCTCAGTTTCTACAACCACAGTATTATCTCCCAGGTCTCCTTCTGCCCTATGTATATTGCAGTTATGCTTTATGTGGAGATGAAGCATCCTAAGAGTGGGGAAGGATATATGGGGCCGGAACAATAGGCGCTGAAGCCAGATTGTGACTAAAGTTGGTATTTGAACAAACCAAGTCTTTTTTTTTTAAGAGCATGGTAAAAACTAAGTTTCAAAAATCGATGCTGGCAAAAATTTCCTTGAAAAAATTCTCACCAAGTTCAGTTGCAAGGTGCTACCTGGGGAATGAAATAGATTTGTCAAGGACACACCTAAAACTATATTACTGTTGTAGTTTTGAAAGACTGAGACCTTTGGAAGGGGGAGTTACAATTAAAGCAAACATCGGCGTATCCGTTTATTCATTCACCAAATGTTTATGAAGCAACAAACTTATGCGCAATATTTCAATCTTGCTGCTCTTCCTCCCCAAATTCAGGAACTTTTGCAACGGAAACCGGCCCCGGGCATGCGCCTTTTGAGCCGAGGAGCAAAAGGGGCAACTCAGTAGCGGCACCCGCCTCCCCGGAAATCCTTGGAGGGGGCGGGGCTCTCGGAGCGCGCTCTTCCCAGCGGCAGCTGGGGAGGCGCATGCGTACTTGCGTTATCGTGGGGGTGCATCGCGGAGGCGTGGGAGAATCTGTGGCCCGCGGTGGGCCTTGGTCCCTTCTGTCCCCGCCCCGAAGCCGCCTGCTCAAGCTGAGGGCCACCGGCTTCTATCCGTCGGTGTCGGTGCTCCTTGCCTCCCAGCCAGAGCGTCTCATCCCTGGGCCTGGAGCCCCAGGCTCGCTCTCCTCAGCCCGCGCTGGCAGCGGCGCTCTTGCCGCCATTCCTGTGAGGTAGTGTTCCGGAGCCGCCGGGCTGGCGGAGGAGTAAGTAGGCGCCAGAGTCCTGGCCCGGGCATCCTCCTCGGGGCCCTGTCGCCGCCGCGCCCCGGATCCTGCGTTGATCCTGTCCGATAAAGCGGAGGTCGGCCCTGCTTGCTGACGCGACCGTGAAAACCACAGCGCCTGGCGCCCGGCCGCCGCCGCCACGCCACACACAAGTGTACCGGCCCGAGGCAGGCTTCGGGCGCGAGCTTGCCTTTGTGACTTTCCCTTACCGTCTTTGCTTGCTTCCTTTTAAGTATTACTTCCAGATAAGGGACATATTCTCGAAATACTTTGAAAATAATTTTGAGTTTTGTTTCTCCCGTTGAGACTGATTACATTTGGACCTTTCAAGCTACACTGTGCAATCATCAATCTCAATAAGCTCGTAATAGGCTCATTCTTCCGTAGGCTACAAGCAAAATAATAGATCATAACATCCTGCGGAGGAAGCCGTTGGTCCGTGTAGAGTCGCCAGATGTCAATTAAGAGTAGATCGCTTTTCAGAGAATACTTACGGCTCTGGTTTAGACCTGGACTTGGAACTTTGAGGTGTTTGGAACACTGGGCAGAATTTTCCTTTGTTATAAAACAAACTTTATGAGAACGTATTTTGTTGTTGTTGTTAGTATTGAAGCAATTTTGGTGCAAACCAAAGGATAAAGCAAAACAATGAAAATCACCCAGAGTTCCATTACCCATACTGAACCAACTTGAACATACTGGTTTATTTTGGCTTTTTTCCATATGAAATGTCAAATATTCTTATACTCAGGTATAGAATGTGATATTTACTCTTTCATGTAACATGTCCCCCAATTTTTACATACATAATTCTCGTTTCAGTAAGCATTTTTATAACTACACTCTTTTTCCTTTGTTATTGTATGTCTAGGTTATTTCAACTGCACTATTGCATGTAACTACTATATGATGAGGCAATGGCTAGATTAGTATTTAGAACGTGAGCATTCAAGTCAGGCCACCTGGGCGTCACAACTTACTGGGCAATTTCAAACAATTTAACTTTTTTGAGCCTCATTTTACACAGTAACATGGGGATAATGATTCTGATTGCCCAGAATTATTACAGTAAAATGAAATAATGAGGGAAAGTGGCTGCAGCATGTCTTGTTAGTAAATGCCATTACTGTAGGCAGATTTTCTTTTGTTGTGATTTTTTGGTGACATGTATGATTTATTTCCAGATTTTGAATATACTTAAATACCACAGTAGGGGTATGGGGTTTGATACACAGCTTTTCATATATTTTATACCATATATTCTGTGTTTGATACACAGCTTTTCATATATTTCATACAATATATTGTGTGTTTGATACACAGCTTTTCATATATTTTATTATAAGTAACACATGAATTAGAAATAATTTTTCACAATAGGGAAACATTTAAAAAATTAAAATGTATAATTCTGCTAACCATAGGTGAATAGTCGCATTTTGGGCAATCTTTTTTATGCATATATATGTAGTGGTTTGTTTTATTTATTTATTTATTTATTTATTTATTTATTTATTTATTGGAACAGAGTCTTGCTCTGTCGCCCCGACTAGAGTGCAGTGGTGCGATCTCCGCTCACTGTAATCTCCGCCTCACCGGTTCAAGCAATTCTCCTGCCTCAGCCTCCTGAGTAGGTGGAATTACAGGCGCCCGCCGCCACACCCTGCTAATTTTTATATTTTTAGTAGAGACGGGGTTTCACCATCTTGGCCAGGCTGATCTCGAACTCCTGACCTCGTGATCCACTCTCCTCAGCCTCCCAAAGTGCTGGGATTACAGGCATGAGCCACTGTGCTGGGCCTGTAGTGTTTTTTAAAAATAGAATTATATTATAAATTGGGCTTAGTAACTTGCTGAAAATAGCAGAGGCCAGTGCGATGAGAGTGGGGTGATTAAGGGAGTAGGAAGTAATGCAGGAAAGGGAGTTTGTAGGATTCAGGTTTCATTAAGTGTACTGGGCAGGTTGGGCATAGTGGCTCGGGCCTATAATTCTGTCACTTTGGGAGGCTGAGGTGGAAGGATCCCTTGAGCCCCGTTGTTCGAGCCAGCCTGGGCAACACAGGGAGACCCCATCTCTGTAAAATAAAAGTAAAAATTATTTTGAAAGAAAAGTTTACTGGACAGAGTAAGTTCAGGATTGAGGAGTGACCTGATTTGTTTTAAACGAAGGTTCATTTGGCTGCAGTATGGAAATAGACTGTAAGAGACCAGCGGAGGAAGATGGAATCCAATTAGGAGAGTATTTAAGTAATCTCTGTGAGAGATGATGTAGTTTAGATCAGGGTGTGAGCAGGGAAAAATGATTGGGTTCTGGATATATTTGGAAGGGAGAGGTTATAAGATGCACTAATGGGATGTGGAATTCAAGAGAAAGTGACTTAAAGAATTTTGGTTTGGGCAATTAAACAGATACAGCTGCTGCTTACCAAGATAGAGACTGCAGGTGGGGGGAAACTAAACAGTTCTGTTTCAGTCATGTTACCTGTTGGGGAGTCTAACTAACTGGAACAGGAGTATTAAAGACTTCATCTTCTATTCTTGAGGTATCAATTTGTCCCTTCATTTCTGTCAGTTTTTGCTACATATATTCTCTGTTACTAGGTGCATGTATCCTTGTAAATTGTTATATCTTCCTTATGGGTTTGTCCTTTTATCATTAGAAAGTGTTTCTCTTTTTCTCTAGTAGCATTGTTTTAAAGTCTATTTTATCTGATATTAATGTAGCTATTTCAGTTCTCAAGTGATTGCTATTTACATGCTTCGCACCATTGAATCTAAAATGTGTCTCCTGTAGACTTTATATAGTTGGATCTTGGTTTTGTTTTTGTTTTTTGAGACAGAGTTCACCCTGCTGCCTAGGCTGGAGTACAATGGCGTGATCTTGGCTCACTACAACCTCCACCTCCCAGGTTCAGACAATTCTCCCACCTCAGCCTCCCCAGTAGCTGGGATTACAGGCGCCCACCACCACGCCCAGCTGATTTTTGTATTTTTAGTAGATACAGGGTATCACCATGTTGGCCAGGCTGGTCCCAAACTCCTGATCTTGTGATCCGCCTGCCTCGGCCTCCCACAGTGCTAGGATTACAGGCATGAGCCACTGCGCCTGGCCGGATCTTGTTTTTCTTAATCTGATAATTTCTGCCTTTTGATCCAATTGTTAAATCATTCACAGTTAATGTTGTTGATATAGTTGGATTTATGTATGCCATCTTGTTTTTGTTTTCCTTATGTCTTATGTCTTTTTCTTTTCCTCTGTCTCTCCTTTACTGCTTTGTTTTGCATCAAGTGAGTATCTTCTAATGTAACGTTTTAATTTCTTGAGTGATTTTTTTCAGTCTTAAGTCTTTTTAGAGACCTTAGTGGTGCACTAGGGCTTACCGTACAATTATAGGTTAACTTATTAGAATCAGCTTCGGATTTATACTCACTTAATTGCAGTGAGATTACTCCAATATACTTTTATTCCATGTCCCTGTTTTTTTTTGTGGTTTTGTTGTTGTACATGTTATATCTTACAGCTGTTACAAACTCAACAATACATTACTACAATTATTACTTTTACATCATGTAAAGAAAATGAACAAAGGAAACCAAGTATATGTTTGTAGCTTTTGTTGTAGTAACCTTATTTATAATTTCAGGTTTTTTGTTTCTTTTTCTTGTGGATTCATTACTATCTGGAGTAAGCTTATTTTCTTTTTTCTCTCTTTTTTTTTTTGGTAACAGTGTCTTGCTCTGTTGCCCAGGCTGCTGGAGTACAGTGTCATGAATATATCTCACTGTAGCCTCAAACTCCTGGACTCAAAGTGATCCTTCCACCTCAACCTCCTGAGTAGCTGGAACTACAGGCGCATGCCACCAGGCCTGGCTAATTTTTGTATTTTCCTGCACATCAGCCTCCTGAGTAACAAGGTCTATTGGCACACATCACCACATCCAGCTAATTTTTAAATTTTTTATAGAGACAGAGTCTCACTATGCTGCTCAGGCTGGTCTCTAACTCCTGGCCTCAAGTGATCCTCCAGCTCTGGCCTCCCAGAAGTGCTAGGATTACAGCCATGAGTTCTTTGTATGAGTTCCTTATATATTTTGGATATTAACCCCTTTTTAGATACAAGGTTTTTCAGTATTTTCTCCCATTCTGTGGATTGCCTTTTCATTTTGTTGTTTCCTTTGCTGTGCAGGAGCTTTTTTGTTTGATTTAGTTCCATTTGCCTATTTTTGCTTTTGTTGCCTGTGCTTTTGGTGTCATTTACAAAACAAAAAAAATTATTGCCAAAACGGATGTCATGGAGCTTTTCCACTGTTTTCTTCCAGTTTTATAGTTTCATGTCTTACATTTAAGTCTTTTCACTTTTTTTTTTTTTTTGAGACAGAGTCTCGCTCTGTTGCCCAGGCTGGAGTGTGGTGGTGTATGATCTTGGCTCACTGCAACCTCCACTTCCTGGGTTCAAGCGATTCTCATGCCTCAGCCTCCCGAGTAGGTGGG